ACTGTGGTTGCTGTCAATTAAGCTGGGAAGGAAGGTTAGTAATGGGGGTTGGAATAGAAGAAAGAGAAACAGGTGGAAAAGGAAGAAGGGAGGCGCCAGCAGTAGCAGGTTTTCGCTTATCCGCCCTGCTGTATACAGCAGATAAGGCGACCCTTGATAATCTGCGCGACGGCCGACGCAGGATGTGGTTGAATTTAGAAGAAATAATCATGGTTGTACGTGGGCTGAGATACTGCCAAGGAGTTCAGACCTAGACAGGACGATTAGGGTCCTCATCCAAAGCCTTTGGATCAAAAGCCTGTCCGCAAGGCAGCGAGGTGGTGGTAATAGTTAAATTGTACAGAAATGGATGCCATCACATTTCAAAGCCTCAAGCTGGAGGACCAGGAGACTGAGTTTGTAGGACTTCTAACCATTGACTAACGTGATACGAGTAGCTCCAAGGGGTCAGGCGGCACCACCAAGTATAGCTCAATGGGACAAGGAGGTAAGCAAAAGATCGCTCCAGGTTTTCAGTCTCGTTCCGACAGACTGGAGTAGGATGCTTACGAGTGATTTGGCAACAATCGGAATCAGGCAAGCAGTTCGGGTCAGCTAAATGGCTGTAGCCCAAGCGTGGTATATCGATTGTTACGGCTCCCATCGCTACGGTAAAAATAATAACATTGGAGTAACTGGCAGAAAGTTTTGAGGAAAAATACAAGAAGCAGTTTTGAGAAAATGCAGCAGTTAAAGGCAAGGGAGTTAATGCAGAAACGCCAATAACCCCTTGGCTGCGTCATATTGAATAGTTACAAACCTCTGATGCGGTTGATCCCGAGAGCTGCGTTCAGAGAAGCGGCATGCGCAGTTCTGATCGAACAAATCGGTCACTTGTTTTACACCAGTATGCCATTACATCGATAACCCAACATAAGGTCTCACCTATTTAGATTCAGCATAAAAAACAATGAACGGCTAGATGCTCTGCTGACTGGTATAAGAAGGTCACAGCCAAGCAAACTATGGAGGTTGTATGACTAGTAAAAATATCAGTCTTGATCATGACACGTAATCAAGTACCAACATCAGAGGACGAATAGAGTCGAGCACAGAGGACTATATTCAAGGGGGCCACAAAGTAACGTGAACGGATGAAATGGAGAGGAGCGAGCGTCGGCGCAGTGATCCATCGAGCAGACGAACACAAAGTCGGATGCACGCGAAGATGAAGGGCGGGGGCAATAAAACAGGAATAAATCACGTGACTGACATACAAGACTTTCCCTTACCAATTTCAAAATGGCAAGAAGGAACAGCATTTCGACAGGATATTCTGAATTCAACTATTTCGCGTATTCTCGTCAGCCGTTTACGTAAAATTAGTGGATTAGTTCGGTTGTATAAAGAGACATTCAAGTTGTAACATCATAGGTGAAACGAAAACGGTCAATGTTCATCTGATGCTGGCTGGCATTCCGCTTAGACGACTGTGGCCACCAGCCTCAAGGCAGGGCGAGACTGGTGATGAACTCGATCTGTTTACACAAAGTGAGTTCCAGCAACCGACACATACTTGACTGCCTCATGTGTGAAAACGCTTATGAATCATTTAGCATAATCAACCGACAGAGCGCCGCTTGTCTGCTTCAGTTTGCTGAGGCTTCAGTAATTAGGCGACTGAAAGGAACTTTGGGTAACCAAACCGAGTTCATCGCCAGTCTCGTCCTACGTTGTTGAGAATGGTGACCTCTAAGCGGAATGCCAGCAAGCATCAGAGGAACTTTGATCGTTTCCGTTTCACCTATGACATTACACCTTGAATGTCACTGTATGCACTCTAAATATCCTACTAATTGTATGTAAACGGCTGATGAGAATACGCGAAATAGTTGAATGCAAAGTATCCTTTCGAAATGATGTTCCTTCTTGCCACGTAACTACCATTCGAATCGCTATAAACTCGAGTTCAACAGGTGTTCTAGTGCTGTGCCAGAGGAGATGTTTGGACATATCGACCAGAGGAACTCGCTTGGTAATCCCATTGGACACAACCGATGTGCCACGGACATTGACGAGTAAACAAGAGCAGTACCTTAAAAGTTTTAATAGGCATATCTAGGTCTCGGATTGAGAACACTGCACCCCATCCAACGGCCACTCGATTCCTGAATGACAAGCCGATAGCTCGCTGTCACAGCAGACCAGTGGATATTAGGAAAGCCACGCGGACCTAGCTGACATGCACAATATACCTCTCAGTGATCGCACCATTAGAACAGATGCAAGTACTTGTACAGATGAAGTGGTTGAAGTATCGTGTCAGCTCAGTACTACTGGGTTTAACAGTAACCAGCTTAGCTTCAGACCAAGATGAGAATCGGTAAAGATGGGAGGCAGAGCGGTAACTCGTAAGAACGATAGTTACATGGAGAAAGATTTGAAAAATTCTTCGGGTTGATAGTGCGTTCACCAAAAGTGATAAGTACGAAAAAGAAAAATTGTCTGTCAGGCGGACTCGATAATTCTTTGAATCGCATAGTAAGATTAATGAGAGTGGACGACGTCCAGCAGTTCCATGCGTTCTGTCCCCCGGTCCCAATAGCATACACTATTCACCAAACCCATTTAACCCACTGGGATGATCAGTTAAGGAAGAATTCTGGGTTCATACTTAAATTCTGGCTTTGCGAACGTTGAATACAGGTGACGTATTAGTGACGTCAGTGTCATGCGTGCGAACCCTAAAGAACGAGAAATTCAGATGTACCACAGAGGAATTCTTAGTCTTCTACAAAAGCGAGCCATATAGAGGTGATGATGGAGGAAAGAACTTGGGTTCGTGGCAATGTTTCATGTATTGAGCGTAAATATGTGATGGGAGATTTCCGCCGTAGTATACCATTCGTGGCGCCGCAGAATCGAGTAAATAGTTAACGGTTAACGCGTGTAGCATCAACGCTGAAATGGCTACCAAGTAGTACGTGACAGGTTTGAACGCTTACGTTGCTCACAATAATCATTACATTCTTGTTTCAGGCACTTAAAAACGAAGATTAAGGATGTAAATTGCCGTCCATGGCCTAAACCCCAAGTATCGAAGCAGAAATTACGTAGGAACATAATGTTGTGAGCCGATGTTTATTGAATCTGCCGAACTTGAAGTTAGTCACAGGGGGAAACAGCGCCTAACATGTACGCTACAAAGACCAGAAACCATAAACCTTGGAGGTAGAACAGCAGTTTTCAAGTGTGTTAAGCAGCCTAACAGCGTGAGCGGTAAAGGCCCCAGTAAAACTATGGATGCAAAAAAGGATCCGAGAAGGTTAATGGCGCTAGTGGCGAAGACCAGGCTCGTATCTAACTAATCGAGGAGAGGCGCGACCTGCACTGGACAGTGCATATTTGACTAGGACTCACACCGCAAATTCAGGCCAACAACACTTACAGTGCAGCTAGCATACAATATTTTGCATAGAAAATAGACTCGAATGGTGCTAAGAAACAAAAGCAGTGCGGAAACGAGACAGCAGAGATTCGCTTATATTCATTTCGAGTTAGGTTTACAAGTGCATACAATGTTATGCGAAAGTCTTCCAGACGAATTGGGTGACGTTACTGTGACCAGAGGTAACCGCAGGTGAGTGATAGCATGCGTGACGTAATGACTGGAAAATATTGGGAGAAACGCAGCCAGTGCTAGGCAAACTATCCCCAGGGAATACCCGTAGCACTCATACTGTATACCATTTCGACGGGCTTCTAGTTTGAATATGTAACGTCCACTACGGAAGCTTCGGGTAGGAGAATAATCGATTTCATAATGATTTTGAAGATAGTCTTCGACCTAAAACCATAGGCTAGAACGGCACCCGTGGCCTTAAAAATGCAGCGCAGCACGGTACAGTTCGATGGGGTATGAAAGGATATGGACCATGCAAAAATGTTTGCAAGGCTCAGTAGCACGGTGATAATGAGTTAGGGAACGAAAACGCGAAGGTCTCATTGTGCGAAAAAAAATGCCGGAAACGGGATTGGAACACTGAGATGCAGTCATGAGAAGATTTTACAGACTAGGATCTCCAGCCACCAAGTCCCACACAAGTTGGGCAAGAAAATTCAGCTGTGGTACGCCCGAAGAAGCAATAAGGGGCTGAGAAATTGAACATGGTGCAGACTGAGGGGGATAAGTTCGGTGCAGTTAATGAATTGTGGTCCGTGCAACGACGTACGGTGGATCCGGTCGCCCTGATTCATGGTATCAAAATTTGGTCGATGACAATGATAATAACGATACGAAGAAGGAATGGAAGCCAACATCACCGAGTGGACTAGTCAGTAGTAAGAAGTAGAGGGACGACGGCAAAACACCCACTGAACTGATGGTCGCATTATACCAGAGATTTTCTAACTAGTGATCCCGAGGCCTCAAGTTGGCAATCAGGCATAGTGTTTCAGCGTACTTATTAGTGCATTTAAGCTACACCGATTGGATAACTCGGGGTTTCATCCGGCCAGTCGCAGCAATGGTAAAAAGCGTACGATGAAGTGGCCTACTGGCGACCCAGCCAATGTGGCAGCTCGAGCTTAACAGGTACTCCAGTGCGGTACTGGAGAATATGTTGTCAGTCGCACTGCGCATTAAAGGGTTCAGGCCAACGTTCCATTCGATAGGAGTGAGAACGAATTCGCTGCATAACTTCTTCAGTTGTTGTTTCACTCGCCAGCACCTATCTTGGACTCGTGCGGTGAACGGGTTGGAATACCACTCGGGGGTTGTCAATGATGTTGGTCATCGTCCAGCGAACCACAGCCAAAAATCAATTCTCCCTATCAACTCGGTAAGTTTTAGTCGGCTAACGTTTCGGGGCGTTACGCACACGTTGAAATCGACTTTCCAAAGAGTCCAATCAGGCTTATTGAGGCTCAGATATTTATCCACCATTCAGACAGCAATGACAAACAGGCACCAAGTGTCCCAGCACGACTACAAACCTTTGAACGAATAGCGAATAAGTGACTGCGACAGTCTCCGCATGGTGTGCTGAAGGTAGTTCTACTCCGCATTCGGCTCGTCCACCTTATTCGCCAGTGGTAGCTGAAGATGCAATTCATATTGACATAGGTGATTCGAGATTTGCGAATACAGTTAGCGAAAAGACACCTTCAAACCCGAGCATTAGCTGAGGCAGAAGGTATGAGGGCAATGTAAGCGTATACGAGACCGTGATCAGACTCAAAGCAAGGGCTTAAGACCCACCGACATCTCGGATGGATGTGCGTCTTCTAGAGAGGACCGTTGTATGGTTAGTTGGATTGTCATTAGGAGGGTATCATATAAGTCGGTGTGGATGCGAATGAACGAAAAACAAAGTACTCACAGGGCGACGAAATTACATGGTGAAAGGACGAACGAATCAACCCACGAAGAAAAAAGTAACTCTGAAACGGATGCTCGCAAAGCTCTCAACTATCATGGATGTGACATGAAAGCAAATTCGGGAAGTATCCGGGAGCTGCAAACAGTCACGGTCGGTGAATAACAAAGCACGTGACAATGGAATAACACGTCAAACGCATGGGAACGAAACTTTCATAGATGGAAAAAGCAACGCGGTTCATCATCCGGACAAATCTATTTGAAGACAGACAAAAGAGCCTACAGAAACTTGTAGAACGAAAAACAGCCGGAAGGAAAATATTTAGAAAGATGGGGACTAGGTGCGTACACATTTGTTCGGGGGAAAATGGAAGTCTCTCCATGCAAACAGCAAGATTTTACTTGTACTCCGTGTACTGTAGTGGTTTCAAGTATTGCGAAAACGCTTTGTGTACCAAAGGCCAAAGTTCGTTGGAGTAGCGCCCTCTGAAGTTATGCAGCAGGTTGCGTGATCTGGATAGAGGATGAAAATTAAATGTTTTGAGACAGTCACAAAGTTCGGTATGCAATAGCAATCAGAAAACACACATAACTTAGGACATTATTCACACATGAAGCAAGTGCGGTGTTGTACAGGCCACTGCTAATTGAAGGCGTCGTTGGTCGCAATGATGTGTCGTTATATGCCTAGCACTCTGCATAAAAATTATCGCTGCTGTGCGCGGCAAAATGTGATCAGATTTCTGAAGCTAAGAGATATGCAAGAACGAAAAAGGAGAAAGTAAGACAGACATTACATATTGTCGAGTATGGGGCAAACATCATCTGTTGTAGCATATGATTCAGACTCGAAACCGGTGACAGCAGCAAGTATGTGTGAGAGCAAGCCGACCATTACCGAAGACGAAGCAATCAGGTAGGGTGATGTTAAGGGAGCTCGCCCGTAGCAGACGTCGGAGCCGGTCCTCTAGCTAACAGTCCGGAAAAGACAGGCCCGACATAGTCTGAAGCCAGTTGACTAGCCAATGAGAGTGTTTCACCAAGAAGTCTACCAATGAGAATGCCGTATCTAGAAGTCCACCAGTGAACGAGCACTTTGGGCAGCCAACGAGAGTATTCTCAGGCATGTAATGATTGCTGAAATCAAGAAACCACTATCATGAACTAATTCTGTTAACCCCACCTTTGGGTATGCATACTGTTTGACGTGTCCAACAGGAGTCTTTGTTTTATGATTTGGGAAATGGCTGGAGCGTGATCCGAATGGTTGTACCGGGTATCCGTAATGCCAGCGTAAACATAACAGGCGGCTCAATAATAAGTTCACGAGAGGTCAAATAGACGGCGTCGTGTGCCGGCCTGTGAGATGAGTTTGGCTATGTACCCGGCTATTGAAGGAAGAAGAAGAAGGCAATAGCAGTACGCAGGTACGCAGTACCGACGTTTCGCTGCCACGCAACCAGCACCGGTCGCATGTGAGCTAAGGATACAGTGAGGGCTGCCCTACGCAGGTTCGAACCCGCGCTGTCAGCTTACAAGACAAGCGTGTTACCTTTGGGCTACGGGCCGGCTAGTGAGAGCGGTACAGAAGCATCTGAATAATAGCTGCCACATCAATTGGCTGCGATCGCAAGGAATTGGAAGTAAATCATAAGAGGCATCCGACATGCTGATCGCGATGGTGCCATAAATGAAGCGCACCAGATAATACAGCCATTGTTAGGATTGTGAATGCAGAAAAAGCATTCATGAATTGGAAACAATCCCTAGTGTAGAATACAGGGTGAAATCTGTAAACAAGGGGCGAATCCCAGCATCCTTGCAGGAAAAGATACGACCGTTTAGTGTTCCCTCAACAGACCAAAGAAGTGCCCAGTGGCAGGAATTGGACAGGCACACTGGAAAAGTGCAACAGTGTGCTATTAAGATAGGGCAGTGTTAGCAACAACATTCGCTGATTCAACGAATTGACGCGTTTCATCAGTTGGAAAATGTCTATGTCCTCATACAGTCGTCGTGGATATCCACCGAAATGCATATGTAGATCGGGACATGAAAGCGTACACCTGTACTTCAAATCGAGCGGCAATTTCGACATAATCTATTCAAAAGCAACTGATGGCGACATGATTGACTGGGGTCCATGACTGCTTCGAGGCTAGTGAGCGCCACATTACCTCCCAGGCGGATGCTAGGTCGAAAGTTGGTTCTCGCATCAGCTAGGTGTAGCAACCGCTCACCAGGGCCACTTAAATGCAGCTTATCATGGGATGATTTCTAATCACCAACCCTCACTTCTGTGACGAAGAAGCTCGTCCAATTTGTGATAGAAATCGTCTTCCACTGAGTCAGCACTACGGTTTGCGAAAGCGTAGGCAGCAATGACACACAGGCACTTACAGTCCCAGCATGGCTACAAAGCTTTGAACGCACCAGTCAATCTGATGGCGCACACCTGGCCACTGATTGGGATCAAGTCGACCAGAGCACCTTTGTAGCAGAGACTCAGGACAATGCCCACACAGGCTTGACCGGCATTCAAAGCTGCTTTAGATATGGACAGGCGCAGTGGCACCAGTGTCACATGGAGAGGATCACAGTGAATACACAGCTCAAATTTTGCAGGGCCGGTTTCCGATAGACAGCAGGTATTGATCGACAGGGTACCTAATGTCATGGCAAGTGATTTCTGTCGACCGATTTGCAAATGTGTACGTTGAGGTATGTCAGTCGTAGTGAGGATTGAGGGCTTCCAACATATCTGGATGAACTGAGATTTTCTCTTAGTTGGACAGAGACTTGTTGACAGGTGAGTAGCGTAACTCCGCTGTTGCGTGATTTGAAACTAGCAGACAAACGACTGTCAAAACAAGATGAGGGAAAGCCAAGAATTTGAGAGCAGAGAGAGGATAAAAGTAAAGTTGAAACGGGACAGTGAGGATGAAAAGTGTAACATGGGATGGTTACCTTCACCGATGGGTTTAAGATTGACCGTCACAAATATCGGCGGCCCACCGTTGTCGTGTTACTCGACATCAAAGGTGCCTTCGATTCGGTTGATTGATGTGCCCTTTGGGACTGTCTACTCAGGAAAGATGTGCACGAGAAATATGTGAATATTATCCGCGCACTGTACGCGTGTAGCACCGGCAGAGTGCGGACTTATAACAAGCTATCACCGCCCTTCAATATCTCCAGCGGTGTGAGACAAGGATGTCTGTTGTCACCTTTCCTTTTCAACTTCGCTATTGACGAACTTATGGAGATCGAATTAACAGGACACGATTTAGGTGTGAAGCTACTCCCAGGAGAACGAGTACTTGAGTTGGAGTATCCGGACGATGTTGCCCTCATCTGTGACAGCTCCAAGAGGTGTCAAGCTACACTGGACAGATTAGTACCGGCTGTCAGCCGCTTCGGGCTTTGCTTTGCACCATCGAAGTGCAAACCTTTCAATCAAGATTGGCAAGGATCGCCTCCTACGCTGACCATTGGTGGGGATCAGCTAGAAGTCATTAAGAAATTCAACTACCTGGGAAGTTGTATCAGCGCCCTTGGAATCGAAGATGAGATCACGAACCGTATAGCAAAAGCTCGAGGCGCTTTTGCTAACCTTCGCCACTTATGGTGCCGGCGCGACCTCAATCTCGCCCTGGAAGTTAGAGTGTATAATGCAGCGGTACGTTCGACCCTACTGTACGGTTGTGAAACGTGGCCCCTTAGGCTAGTTACGTTCGACCACCGGTGCATTCGCAATCTAGCTCACATCTGGTGGGAACATCGAGAAAGCAACGAGCGTGTTCGACGCCTAGTTTATGGCACAGGGAAAGGAACTGAACCGCTCAGCACCGACATTTCACGCACCAGGCTCCGATGGCTCAGCCATGTGTTACGCCAGCCCACCGACTCCCACGATGTGCGTTGTTTGTTCGCGGGAGGTAAGGATGGAAGAAGAGGAGAAGTGGCCAAGCGATGACTTGGTCCAGAGGAATGAAGGCCCTCACTTCTGAGCTGGCCTCGGTTGGAGCGTCTCGGCTCCCTAGTTGGGGTCCGAAAGACGATGAACACGTTTGGTTGGACACACTTGCTGACATGGCTAGGAGCCGACCTCAGTGACGTTCGTGCTGTGAGTTTCTTTGTCCCACCCCATCCCTCTTAGCCTCTTCCTCCAACCACGATCTCATTATTTAACCTTATATAATTTTGCATAGTAATTTTTTTGATGCATAGTAGCCGGCTGGTAGCTTACCGGAACGATGCCCGTCCGTTACCGGTAGCTCAGCCGGCTTGCCTCAGTTGAATTCTTTTTTTCTTCTTTTTTCTGTGTATTGCGGCACAGTAGCTGAGGTGTTCTCCACCTCTAGCTAACGTATATACTAATGATGATGAGGATGTCTTCGACATGCTTATAAGCCCAGAGATATAGTTTTGCAAAAGAAGAGTGCATGTATTCAAAGACAGGAGCATTACATGCTTCGCCAAAAATATGCGATTAGATGAGTCTCTGTTACCCAAAAGCGTTTAAAGTAGAGTCAGCGAAGAAAACGGAAACCTAATTAGAACAAAGTGGACCATACGCACCGATAGTAATCGAACAGTGGTTGCATCGCACGTCCGTAAGCCTCCAACCGGGTTCGGACCGCTTCCGGCTTATCGTCATCGCGTTGGATTAGGGGTTCACCGGTGACATCATCAATGCCCTGAAAGGTTAACAAATGTGTGGCTGAGTACGCAAGGAAATAGTATGAACAACGCATTAGCTATTGCCAACAAGCGTTCGTTTTACTGAGGAGAGAAGACAAAGCAAGATAGATGAACAGAATTCGTTCCTTGTGCAACACAATAAAACAACGCGAATTAGCTTGGATAGGCGCAACCCAGTAAACTGAAAAGCACAATATATTGGAGGTCGAGAAAAGAAAAGAAAAACAGAAAAACGGAAGAGGCGTGCCTGTACTAAGAAATGTGAAGGTACGTTAAGAAGTCCAAATTTAGAAAAAATGGCGGAAGGTGGAAGGGGATGAATACAAAGCAGTGAGAACAATTAAAGCAGAAACTGCAAACCACAGTCCAAAGAATGAGGTTACATTTTGCTCTCTCTCCCTCTCTCTCTCTCTCTCTCTCTCTCTCTATATATATATATATATATATATATATATATATACGAAGTCCGCTCCAGCACAGAGACGGTCTCTTAAAAAGGTAAGTCAACAAGCACAACGGTCCCATAACAGTGGTATGGTGCCTGAAGAGTCAGACTTCTTGGATCATAGGCGGATGGGTGCATTGACTTAATGCTCACGTGCGAATACAAAAGAACGTGATATGCGCTTAGGAGATACTTGTGATAGATGTTGATTAATTTTGCAATGCTTTCCAGGTTTAAAAACCAGACTACATGAGTGAACAGCATGACTAACATAGCAATCTAGCGAACCACATTTTTCAAGAAAGAGCTGCGCAACGTATGAGTAACAAGCGACAAAGGTTAGCGTGGGTGTTCCGAAAAGCCGATTACCTAGCTCTCTTGTTTGCGTGGGACAACTGTGGGATTCAGGCCAAACGGTAAAACCCAGAAAGTGACAGAGTGTGAAGGTTTTCGCCAGTATTTGGGTGACTTGTTTACTAAGAGAGTAAAGTAGTTACCCCTTACCTATATAAAAGCAACCTGATCCACCTGTAAGCTGCACATACTGCGAACTAACGCTATTCCCATGGAGTCGATGATATAAGGCAGAACTGACTCCCGATAGTTTACTAACAGACGGAGATGAGTGACTGACAGCTAGTCAGCTAGATGACTTAACACTGTAACGAGCAAACAAGAACTTTCCTTAGTTCACTGATGATTCACTTCCATTTTCGATATTAACAATAGGAGGATGTTACTTGATATCTTGTGATATGGCATCAGAATTGCAGATAAGTTTATTAGGGTCAATAAGATATGACTCAAATCCTGAGGTGCAGTGGATACAGCTGTGAGGACACATGTCGGAGGGAGAACGAAAGGAAAAATAACAATTGATAAAATATCCCTGGTGCAGACATCTGAAAAAAAAGTTAGTGAACACGCACGTCTCCAGTGGTCCGCCATTGAGGCTATTACCCCGACGGCAACAACAGATAAGTAGTACTGGTTATAATGGACTATACGGTCTGAGTGACGGAGCCAAGTGATTGCTCCCAAATCAATCAAAATCATGTGAAAACAGCAAGTTCGCTAGCTCGTATTTCAGAAAAAAAAACAAGTGACAGAAAAACGCAAAGTAATAGCACGAGATATATAAGAAAATATAAAAAGGTGGCATAAAGGTAACCAACCAGAATTAAAAGAGCATAAGCAAGAACCACAACAACTTCGTGGTTACACCAACCACCGATGCGATCAATCCCAATTGATGCATCCGGGAAGACACAACGTGGCAGCCCGATAAAGTACCGCAGTAGAACTTTATCCACGCACTGAACAGCAAGCCTATGCTTATTGAAAGCGAAGTCAGCGTAACAGTTGGGACAAATGATCGTCATTTTGCGTGCGTTAGAAACACCAGAGGTGTATGTGGCTAGAACTCGGGGTGCAACTGTCAAAATACAGTCTCTAAAGCTGCTCCAGGTGGTAACCTTAATTAGTGTTGATAAACAAGAGGCACATGGGCGGCTGCTTGTAGGAACTTAATCGACCACCGAGCATTTAGTCCTGAAGCTCAGAACAATGCTTGTACTAGCGTGACCTACTAGGCATCAGAAGTACGCCGGTACGCAGTACCGACGCTTCGGTGCCGCACCACAACCACCAGTCGCACGTGGACTAAGGATAGTGCGAGGGCCGCCCGGTCGCTACGCGGGCCCGAATCCGCGCACTTGGCTTGCAAGGCAGGCTTGTAATCCTCAAGGCTACGCACCGGCTTTGACCTGTTCGTGTTGTGTCCGTGTATCCAGAAAACGTGACAAGCGAAGTTGGTTTGCCAACCACATAAGAATCCTGGATCTCAGGTTGACAGATGTAATGCTCGTCCATTCCTACAATATCCAGTGTGCATGGAGTGCAGTCTATTGACCCATCTGTTTAATGGTACGGATGCTGAACATGACCGGGGAAATCGGGTGGTGCGGCATGATAAAAGGTTATCGACGGTAGAACCTACGTTGGGGAGGCGGAAGAAGGGTTAGTAGATGAGATAGAAGGTAACAGAAAAAAACAAGTGAGGAAAAAATAGATTAGTAGTAATCAGCTCTCCATTGTTTGCACTGCCGTTGACAAGAAAAACTTGATGTAACTGCGCGGGATGGTGAAGTTTCACCGAATGATCATGGGTGTATGTCGGTTGTAAATACTCAAAAGCATTTTTGGATTCTCGGCAGGGAAACGAAGCCAGCCAATGACGGCTGCTGCTGGCCAAACCCTTAGTCGCCTCTTGCACGTTTTGGACTCCACTCTCAAACTTCACTTTTTGGTTGATACTGGCGCAGAAGTGAGCGTTGTACCTCGATCGTTGGAGAAACGCGCTCAGCGACCAGCAGATATTAGGTTGCAGGCGGCTAACGAAACCAAGATCGCGACTTACTCTTGGACTACGACGTAATTTCCCCTTCACCTTCCTGATTGCGGATATACAGAAGCCCATTATTGGCATCGACTTTCCCACAAAATTAGGCCTTGTCGTGGACCTGCGTTGTGGCAAGCTGCGAGACGGTGCCACGCCGTTAACTGTTTGCAGGCAATTCGCTACAGTCAATCCCACCAGGCTTCAAGTACTTTTGCCTAAAGAGTCGCACTACTCGTCATTACCGCAGCATTTTCCCTCCCTGGTTGGAACAGATGACGGTACGCTGGAGCCCAAGCACGACATCTGTCATCATATCGTCACAACTGGTCTACCTGTGTCTGCAAAGCCAAGACGCCTTCCACCGGACAAAGTACAAGTGGTCAAAAATGTGTTCGAACACATGCTTAACTTGGGAATCATCCACCGTCCCAAGAGCTGCTGGGCATCTCCGCTTCCTCTGTTGCCCAAGAAGAGTAGCGATTGGAAACCATGTGGTGACTATCGGGCGCTCAACAGTGTATTGTCTTCATTTCCATGATTTTTCTAGCAATTTGCACAGAAAGTCCGTTTTCTCCACAATCAACCTAGTTCGTGCATACGATCACATTCCTGACGACATTCCAAAGACCGTAATCACAACCTCCTTCGGTCTCTATGAATTTGTCCGTATGTCAATCGGATTATAAAACGCTGTCCAGACTATTCAGCCGTTTATTGATTAAGTCCCTAGAGGGCTAGATTTTGTTTTTGCCTACATCGACGACATTCTCGTCGCCAGTTCGAACGATGAAAAACACCTGTCACATCTGCATCTGCTCTTCGGGCGTTCTCCTCAGTATGGTGTGACGATTAACGTTGATAAGCATATTTTCGGCCAAACTTGTGTCAATTTTCTCGAAAAGACGCAGGAAACCGCAGATTACCTAATGCCTCAAACAGCTATTAGACATTCATTTATTGTGACCGAGCTTGATAGCTATTCTTTACTCTTCCTATTTTCTGTTTCTTGACTGTTGTTTAAACGCTCTACTGGGTTCGCCCGATTGGTACATCCGCGTCATTGTTAATGGACGCTCCTCGTCATGCCTTTCTCAGCAGCGCTGTTTGCAAGAACATTCTATTGGTTTTTTTTCTTCTCAGTACTGTTCTACTTGGTTATGTTAAAGGAATATTTGGTGTCACACAATTATTGTACTAGTTTTCAACGTTTGGGTCTGCATTCCTTATTCGCGTTTGTTTCGTGACTTTTGTTTAAACGTTTCATTTCGTCATTCTGATTGGCCAGTGCCCGTCACTGTAAATGGTCGTTCGCTTTACGCTTGGAGTCCAATGATGCTATTTTTAGGGACTTACGCGATTCGCTCTTACATACACGGTTGCTTATTCGCCGTTGCATTTCACGTTTTTCCTTCAGTTGGTTGGCTCAAGTGTACTTTAGTAGCTTCCCTTCATTTTGCCTTCAAACTATATAAGCAACTGTGATTTCATGTATACAAGTCTCCTTCTGGCTCGTCTTTGGACTTCTTCTTGCGGTCGTGGGGTGAAGGCATCAGCGGCGACACAACAGATTTTCTGGCGACGGAGGTTCCGGTAATCATGTCGATCTCGTTCGAGCAGATGCAGATGCTTCTTCAACAGCAACAACAGTTTGAAAAATCTCAACGACAGTTGATCGAGTTGCTATCTCAGAAGCTGAACATCCAAAGCGAATCCCCTACAACAACCGCACGGTCATCGGTGGACGCCCTTGCCGCTTCAATCACAGAATTTGTTTTCGATGGATTGAACGGATTGACATTTGAATCCTGGTTCTTAAAGTATGAAGATATTTTTCGAGTGGAACTTGCAGACCAAGACAATGCCTGGAAAGTTCGTTTGCTATTGAGGAAACTTGGTGCAGTCGAACATGAACGTTATACAAATTTCCTGTTGCCGAAGAATGCAAGAGACTTCAGTTTCGATGAGACGGTGAAAACGCTGACGCAGATATTCGGTGAGCAGGCCACTCTGTTCAGTGTTCGCTACAATTGTTTGAAGTTAGTCAAACGCGATGCGGTTGATTTTGTCACACATGCCGGGATGGTAAATCGCGAATGTGAACGATTCAAACTGGGTCTGATGACACCTGATCAATTCAAGAGTCTTATTTT